AGTGATTCTGAAAAAGTAAAACTTGGTAGTGTTTGGTAAAATAAGTACTTTTTAAGTAATAGAAAAAGTGAAAAGCAGTTTAAAGCACCCTTCCACCTGCTTCCAGCTTTTAGCTTTAAAGTGATTAATTTAAGCAGAAGCTCTCATTTGAAAACACTCTTTTCAGCTTTTTTTAATCCAAAAGCTCAAAAGCACTTTTTTTAAGGAAGTGCAAACACTCCTTAAATAAAAGTTGGTAGTGTTTGAGAAAAAAGTGATTTTGAAAAGTAAAAGTTGGTAGTGTTTGGTAAAATAAGTGCTCTTTGTGTAATAGAAAAAGTAAAAGGACTTTTGACGCGGAACCGAGGAAAATAAAAGTTGTAGGGCATGTTTGGCACAACAAGCTGAAAAGATACTTTTGTGAACTTTTTAATAGCTGTTAGCTTTTAGTGACTGAAAAGATCTTAAAAATAAAAGTTGGTAGCTGTTTGATGAAAAGCTGACTGTTTGATTTAGTTCGGTTTGGTATACAAGCTGTTAGGATTAATTAATACTAAAAGTCACTAGCTTTTCTTAGATGCTACTCCCGGTAGCATCTCAAAAAAGATCTTTTAATTTTTGAAAAGCTCTTAAATATTGTCATGCCAAACACACAACTAGAAGCTTTTAGGAACTTTTTGAACAGTACAAAAGCTAGAAGTCAGAGACTTATGCCCGCCAAACATAGCCGTAGTGTTTGGGAAAATAAGTGCTTTTTTAAAGCCAAAAGCTGAGAAGTGTTTTTTTAAAAGGAGTTGCAAACCAACTCTAAAGCATTCTCTGTTTTAGAGGATTTTCCATTAATTATATGATGATCTCATGTTTAACTTTTAAATACTCAATAAATGAATTTCACTTACGTATCTCTATAATATCCACTACTTCTAAGTTCTACTCCGTAATATCTCTATAATAACCACTGAAAAGCATGAAGAGCACCCCCATCTTATAATAGCAGTTATCGAATAGCATGAAGAGCAAAGAGGGTACCCCTAGACTCAAGTAGCAGGGAACGAGGGTTATCTCTATGAAGGTGTTTGATTGCCAAGGATAAGAGAAGTCCATTGAAAATGATGGTACAGTGGTACTCATCCATACAATATGCGATGGTGCAACAAATTCAACAATGCCAAAGAAATGGGTGTCAATGTGAAAAATTCTATTTGTACACTCTCGGTTACACCCGGGCTTCACCCTATTTATTTACCATTCAAAGACAAAAAGTTCACATACACACTTTTCGATAGGATTTGTATGAGAACAAAATTTGTCTTTATGAACAAAATTTGTGTGTAAACATATCTGCACACAGACAAAAATTTATGTGCAGAAATACTTTTTGTGTGTATACAAACACCTAGTGCTTGTATACACACATTGATTTTCGTGTAAACTAATCTGACTTTTTCTGCAAAAAAACACATTGTTGAGGTTTATTCATTCAACCCTCGGGTCCAACACGTAAGCCCAAGGATTTCGAGTGGAGTGTGTATGAATAATTAGCCCAACTAACAAGTTAAAATGGATTCAGAAACAATAAGTAGTAAGTAAGTGATTAGGTATTATTAATCTGTTAATAACTCCCCAATACAATACTTTTTGCTAAAGGCTCGTCGGTCGTTCTTCTTACAAGGCAGTAGAAGTGCTGCGAGTAAGAAGACTATAAGCTAGAGTGCTAAGAATAGAAAGTTGCTAACCCTTTACAATGAAATAAATGCTGCTATTTATACTACCAATGGGCAGTTGACTATACTGACGTGAAGGATTGTGAATGGCTGGTGCTCCAACCACCAAATCTTCAGCATTAAATGCGCTTCCCGCCAGGATCTGAGTTTCCCGCCTAATTGGTGGGGACGTTCGTCCAGCTAGGGGAGGTGAGTTGCTCCTGGTGATATCGCAAAGGGCATCGGGCCGTTCTTATCCTGGCCCTTGGATGATTTGCCATGTGGACTGGGTTGCCTCCAGTGGTTATGGGCTTGACCCGGCGACGTTCGTCGCCATCCTTGTGGCCTGTGGGCCTGATTTACTGCCAACTTGTGCAGATGTTCGACGGGATGGGCTGATAAGCCAAGGTCTTGGTTACGACGTTCGTCTTTGCCAATTCCCCTGTTGACTTAGCCCACCCAGAAACCTGCATGGACGTTCGTCCGAAATGGGGGGTAAATGGGCCGGCCCCTGTTTGGGCCATTAACCCAACACACACCAATTAATGTTATTTATTATACGTAACTCAATGACTGTACACAAACATTAGTTGTCTGTATACACACAAAAAGTGTATATGCACAGACATGTCTACAGACAAATTTTGTTCATATAGACAAATTTTGTTCCTACAAACAATTTTTCTCAAAAAGTGTGTATTTGTATTCTTTTTTGTCTGCGAGAAAAGTAAATAAATATAGTGTAAGCCGAAGTATAAACCACGCACTACTAGTAGGCATGGACTCGGGCCGGGTGGCCCGACCCGGGGAACCGGCCCGACACTATTTGGAACCGGCCCGAATCGGTGGCCTGGCAAGGGACCGGTCCGGGTAGCCGGGTAGGCCCGGCCCGGGGGCTTTACGGTGCGGGCTCGGGTCACCCAAAAGACGAACCGGCCCGGCCGGCTCGGGCCCGGTTCTGGGCTTTTTTTTTGTTTTTTCAATTTTATTTTGTTTATTCTGGGTTCGGGCTGGGTGTTTTGGGGGGTGGGGGTGAGGGGGGGTCGGGGGTTAAGTAGAAAAGCCAAAAAAAACTAAGTAACCCGAGGCCCGGCCCGGCCCGTACCCGGTGGCAACCCGGGCCAGTTCCGGGCCTTCCCCCATTCCTCAAAAGCCCGACCAGGCCTAGGCCCGGCCTGGGCCCGACCCGGGTCCATGCATAACTACTAGTGTCAATATTGAGAGCTTGCCTTCTGGGCAATTGTTGGGGTTAGATATATCACCTTCTTCTCTACGCTACCTTGGAGGAGTTGGAGGTGATTTAAATATGATGGAGATCCAAATAGAAATCTATTTGGAGCCAAAAGAAGTGAAAAATTGTTGTCACAATTAATTAAACATTATTTAATATGTCAATAGTTAATAACAATCAATGATTAAGTAGAAACCTCATTAATTGTTGTAAGTTACAAATACAAATTAGAAAAGTAAGCATATATAAAGACATTACATATAAATAAAATTATTAGAAAAATATTAGAAACATTTACCTACATAATTAGTTAATAGACATTTACATACATAATAAATTTTAAAACGAAATGTTCTAACTTTAGAATATAAAAAAAAGTACTTCGTATTAAATTATATTCATCAATGATGAATTCAGATACAAATATTATTAAAAAGGAAAATGATACTACCTCAGTCCCCTAAGTTTGGGACAAAGGGGTGTGGTGTGGTTTTTAAGAAAACGTAGAATTGTGTGGTTGATATTGAATTGATAAAGTGTGAATAAATTACTCCCTCCGTCCCAATTTGTAAGATACATTTCGGTTTACGATGTTTGACTGACGATAAAGCAAATTGATCCCTGTCAACACCCAAATTAGTTCTAGAAAATAAAATTTGCATATTCAAAAACTACATTAAATCCGCTACAAAACCTGCAAAAAATAATTCAAACTTCATAAACTTTTGATATATAAAATAAAAGTTTAGGAGTTATTTATGTTGACCAAGTGAATAGTAAATGTATCTTACAATTTGGGACTGAGGGAGTAATAATGAATTCTAGCCACTCAAACATTACCTAATATGGTATGGGACAAACTTAATGGGACGGACGAAAAAGGTAAAACGGGACAAACATAGGGGGACGGAGGGAGTAGTAATTCGTACCCCCATAAAATGTGAATGAAATTGATTTGCATGTGAAATACAACAACAACAACAACATCCAAGCCTTAGTCCCAAAAGATATTGGGGTCGGCTAACATAAATCGATACATGAGATCACCGCCAAAAGGAAAAGAAAGAAAATAATTTAAAGATAAAAAGATAAGCTATTATAAAAAAGATAATGTACAAAAAGATGAATATACCTAAAAACGATAAAATAAAAAGGATAAAAGTATTCTATATATATAAGGATAAAAAGATAAAAAAAAAAACAAGCAAAAAATGAGGGGAAAAGATGATTTGCATGTGAAATATAAAGAAAATTATATGATGGAGATTTGTGCAGATCGTAGAAGGAAAAAATAATTTACCCACAAACTTAATACTTTAAATAGAAATCACCAAAGTTGCATAAATAAAGTTATCAAAGTTTAACGAGACGAGAGAGGAATTGTTATTGGTAATCGATCAGTTGCAAAATAAAATAAATATGCATTCATTTAATTCTATTACATCTATCCATAAAAAAAGATGATTTAAATAAATTTATCCATTAGTAAATAAGTAACTATATTAAAAAGAATTCAATCCTTACTAGCTAGATGCAGACAATTGAATAAGGAGAATATGATTGTATTTTATCAAATTTAACATGAATTTGAACTTAACTGAACTAGAAATTAATTATAAGGAAATAAATAGCCACTTTCACAACAATACATTGAAAAAACATAAAAGGGTCAATACATTGATAACTCACTAATAAGTAAACATAGCATGTCGATCTACAATTCATATGATTGGTCTATATCGTTATAAAAATTTCTATACTATGATACCCACTAATAATTTATGTGGCTGATATTGAATTGATAAAATGAGAGTAAAGTAGGAATGATTTAGAATCATACCAACGTTACCAAATTTGGTATAAAACAATCTTAATGAGAAAAACTAAAAAGGAAAAATGAGACAATTTTAGTGGGACGGATGAAGTAGTATCATACATGGACTCTAATTTATTTTTATATCATATTTTTATACAATAACTATGTATATACACATTTCTCATGAATTATTTTAAAATAAATTATTTCATCTTTTATATCCGTGCAACGCACGGGTGGATTGACTAGTGTCAGATTATGCTTTCAACGTGTCGGTAGTTGTGACGTTGTGTTATTGCTACCTATATCCCATTCTCCCTGGATACCATATGAAATTGTTAAATGTTAAGCGTCAAGGTACAAGAAAGATATCATTCAAAGGTCTTTTAGAAACATCACAAGATGAAGTACACAAGCAATGGTAGTTTTGGGTAACTAACCAAGCCTTCTCACCTTAGGTAGAGAAGGTATTTGGCTATGCTGTTGATGTTGACCATTTTTATTCTCCAAAGACGTTTTTTATTGCAAAGTTATGACTCTTATATAGCTATTACAAGAACTACTCAAGATCGAAGACGAAATCAAAGTCTGAATTAAGGACTGTAAAGACTAATACGAAAGCCATTAGGGAACAAAGATAAGGCAACATGTGTTGTGTGTTGAGCCCCTCCATTACTGCAAGCGGCACGGATCCTTCTCATTCACGAATGGTCCATAGCATCCACATTCAGCTTTCTATCAATGCTTGAGAATGTCTGATAGAATGCCTTAAAGTGTTTGTATGCATTATCAATATCTTCCTTTCCGCATATCTCTCGTACACTTCATTATGACAACAAAGAGGGGATGTTAGATAATAGTCCATACAAGAGGATCATCAGGATGAAGTGAGCAGTAACGCAAAAAAAAAAACATAAAACCTATTTGGTATACTTTTCAAGTGATAATGTAAGATTAATTTCATCAGCTAATATTTTGGCACACTGAATTGGGGAATGTGGCAATGAGATTCAAAATTGGATAGAAGAGAATCCATTACTAATCTTTTCATTGATGGATATCCAATCCATCAATTATGTTATGTCTGTTTATGTGAATAAGATTGAGCAATCCATACAGTGACACAGAAAAAAATCAAAACATTACTCTAAAAAATTCAATGAGCCCTAACGTGGTCCAACGGATTAAAAAAAATAAAGTAATGGTCACTAACATCCCGTGTAATGCAAACAGATGGATTGGATCTAATCCATTAGTATTAATTTTCTTTTTTGATCCACCGATGGGTTTACCTATGGATGGACCAGATTGATGATGGGTAAAAGTAGATTTTTTCTCAACCCCTGCCTGGATGGCTGGATATTACAGTACCATGCACCTTTGCCAAGTTATTGTAACACAGAATAGTACCTAGGGAAGTGCATGCTCATTTGTCTAACCACTCAAATACAAGAGGAGACCAGCAAATTATACTTCTGGTTCCTAATATATTATTATACATCAAATGACAAAAAATGGTACCTATGCATGGATAGCTGAGCAATGCCGCAATCAACAGTGCGAATACCAACCCGTGAAGCAAGTATGGGACCTATAGTTGATCCACACCCCATATCATTCCTCGCCACGAAATCCTGCAATGGAATAATAAGATCTATTTTTTGTTAGTTGAAGAAGACACTTGCTATAAATAAAAGAAAAAATAAGTGATGACTACTCAGTATATATGAGTTCCACTTTACCCCTTGCTTCCTAGTTCCTACCCCCAGAGTCCTATACAATTTTATCAGGCCAGAAAACAATTATGGAGGACAATCATTTAATCAAAGATGACTGGTTGAAGACACGAAAGGTGTGTTTGGTTCCCAAAAATTGTTAGGGAAAGGAAAAAAAATGATAGTCACTTTCCTGTGTTTGGATTGCCTCAGAAAAGGAAATATGATTAATATGTTTAAAAGTTTACGTACGTTTGGATTTTGTAGTCTTTATACAATAGAAATATATAAACACAATGATTGTAAACATATATCAATAATAAGTTTATTGAGGTTGAACCAGTGTTTTATTCCCCGCAATCTATGCTTCATTCTTTCCAAATTTCTCCTACACTTCCTCCTTATTTTCTATCCCTAGCATTTTCCCGATTTCCAAATAGTCCTTAGACTGATTGCTATCACCTGAGTGGGAAGGTTGTGGATTCTCGCAACTTCTTTGAAAAGAAGAGATGTAACTCCACTTGTTGCATATCGCTGATTTGCATTGTGCTTTATAACAAGACCTTTCTGTAAATCTGGATGGTGGTGCTCTTCATGCTTTTCAGTAAAATTTGGATGAACTCCGTGAGCCATGTCAGCAGACACTAGATGAAAAGTATTTGACAATAAGCTTTCTTTATGTCATACAGATTAAAATTATGAAAGAAGCTTTACTTGATGCGAACAATGAAGCTATACAGTATAACAAGTGAAACCTGGAAAAAAACAATTACTTTGCATGTAAAGTGCGATGTCTAAAATATCACATACCCACTAATTCTTATTCTTGAGATGGATTGTACACAGTTCCAAATGAATTCTGTGTAGTCCTAAAGATTATTCTATCAGCTAATTAAGTGCGTTGTTTATAAGAATACTTGATAACTGCAGGATAAACTGTCATATTCAATGTCTACATCAGTATCTATATTTTATGAGGAAGGAGGACTATGATGAAAATATGAAATGAGCTTCTTTCCTTTGAAGCATTTTTATGATTTCACTTCAGGGGTCCAGACCAAGGACCCGCAGCAGCGTAAATAGTAGATCAAAGCAATAATTGTCCATATTGCAACACATGGTATCATTCGAACTACTCTTAATTCTTCATATCATCAACCAATGAGCTTAGAGATATCAATACAACTAAGGAGTAAGGTAAGCTAACTCTTACCAAGAAAGGAATCGCGGATTGAACGAGCAAAGGTAGATTCTCCAACAGAATGATGACCTAAGCAATCAGTTATTCGTCTCATGGCCTCAAACATAGTTGGTGCTCCAGCTCCTTGATATGAATCTGATCCCACCTACAGCATATTGTGATAAGAAAATCATCATAGCATAAAACCAACATAAAACGCCACCTTACATAAGATATTCCATTATTGGATCATGAATTTTAAAATAATAACTTACCTCTTCATTATCAAAAAGTGCTACCATTCGGATTTTGTGCTCATTTACCAAATCTTCAAGAGAAGAGCATGAATCTACAAGAGCCCTCAATGAGCAAAAACTTGACGCAAGATTATCTAGTCTTCCAGAGAATATGAATTCGTTATTTGCACCTCCAAGGCAGCTGGGTTGGGTATCACAAATATTTAACTCAATACTGGCTATATCACCAACCTTACAGCCCAATTCGTCAGACAAGATCTGAAACAGCCAACGTGATAAGCCATGTTCTTTAAATGCAGTTCATAATATCACTATAATTTCTTTGCATGAATCGAGTAAAAAAGATTACTCAAGATCGATTGAAGCAAGTAATACTGTTAAACTATAATATAATCTATAAGTTCTGCATATTACTTAAAGATGGGAGTTTTCCGAATTCGTTATTCTAAAGCATTGTGTTTGCAAAAAAAGCAGCAAATGAGATGGAAAACTATACTTTAGCCATACAATTTTACCAAGTAATATGTCAAGACACAAGAAGATAAGGAGTCTATTATGCCATTGCAGTTACAATTACAGTGGAATATTGGTGTGTCATAGAATTCTAGCAAAACCAGGAAGCAATTGGATTACTTTAACATGCAACTCAACTACATTACATATGACGAGCTACCATGGTCAGCTTGGTCTAATGATATGTTAATATGTAAGTAAGATCTGCATCATCATGCAATCCATTTATGAGATTCTGGTAGATCTCCTATATAATATGAAGTGCAACTTGAGAAAGTTGATAGAGACATTACTATACCGAAGAGAGGAGATAAATACTTCAGCAAAGTATATTCTAGAAGGAAGTAGAGTTAGTTAGTAGTCAAAGTTTGTTACTAGCTAATAACTGTCTTCGGTTAGCTGGAAATTGTGAGTAGTCTGAGTTACTATAATATGAAGAGGGGTACATGAACCTGCAGAAGAAGTTGATGGTGCACATCTTTTGAGGATGATGCATTAGTTTTTCCTGAAGTCTTATCAGAAACACTCTCAGGGTTTGTTGCTAACAGTGGCACCAGGTGAGTCTCAAGATTCGGCTTGAATCCATCCTGATTCACATTGCTAAATACCCATATAGGAGAAAATAAGCGAAGAGAAAGGGAGGAACCCAGGAAAAATTCTGAAAATAAAATGAAGATATGAATATTAAAATGGCAAGAAATATAGTCCCTCTGTCCCACAAAGAGTACAGTACAATTTTTATTTGAGATATGAACGGTCACTTATACCCCTAGAACTTATTTACCATAGTTGGTAATTGACTAAAACCGCTTGCCGCTTGCATTTACAGGAACTTTTCTTTAGCATGAAAGTTGACTTCCAAAACCATCTTTGGGACAAAAGAGTTCTTGACAAGAGACACTTTTTGAGACAGAGAGAGACTCAGTGAGTATTAAATTCCCTTAAGCCAAAAAAAATTCCAATAACAGCTAAGCTTTCACATATAACCACAAACCGGTTTAGATGAATAGCTAAAGTTGGTACTCGCAAGAGAGGTCGCTTCACTTTGACAAGCCTATGCAAGAAGGAACCATCATCTGCTCTTAAAATGACCCTCCCGGCTACAGTAAGATCTCTATCAAACCAAGTATGCCATAAACCGCCACCATACGTTTGCACATTGACCATAAGGTAGCCAGATTTGTATGATGCTGAAATTGGCTTCAGCTTCATACATGGGCTATCGGTATGTGCTGCAATTATATGAAATCCATTTCCAACTGAATACCTGCAGGACTAATGTGTGTTTCATTAATCTAGAGGCATAAAAGTTAATGATTATCTAATTTAAAAAAATCAGAAACTATTACCTAAGGCTTTGTTTGGTACAACTTTTTCATTTTGTTTTTTAATTTGCTTTTTAGAAAACTAAAAAAAAATCTGAAAACCCGAAAGGTCGTTTTCAGTTTTTTGTTGACAGATACCAAAATACCATGATTGCTATGAGTCCAATTGCTTTTTAATACATTTTACAACCTATAATGTGCATCTATTAAATTTGACCTGAAAACTGTAGTGGTGCAGCTGCACCAAACAAGCCCTAACTTAAGGATAAAAAATGCATTCTTTGAACATGGAATAAATAAAAAAAACAAAGTTATTTTCCCTCAAAAAAAGTTATTTCAAGATATACAGATAAACTAATGTAGAACATGAGAAAAGAACAAAGGACATATTTATATTGCAAATGGAAGAAACTACATTTCCTGTGTGCGATAGAGGAAAGTGACAAACTGGTGTTTGATAAAGAGGAAAGTCACACTACCCAACTAGAAGAAACTGATATTTGCTCACTTTTTCCCAATGGCAAAGGCAACCAGAGAGGACATATTCCGAGTAAAGAAGTAGCGTTCACCGGCCTTGAGGTCCCACTCCTCATTCTCATTTAACAAATGGAACCCAGCAGCAATTAGTTGTCTCTTTGCTTCCGCTATAAAAAATAAACCATTATCATCATCATCATTACCTTAATCTCAACAGATTAGAGTCAGTGGGATGAATTTTATAGTATTAACTAGTTTATTTAACAAAAAAAATGCTTATTTAACAATCAATGCTATTGGTTTGAAATACTGTTAAAAATGTTCACTTGCCATGACCTATTGTCTCTTAAAAAGGGCTCTTGAAGTGTGGCTAAAAAGGTACTCTATTTAAGAATGGTTTTAATGTTTTACGCTTCTAAATAATTAAAGAGGCACATGATGCCATTATTGTTAATCAGGATCACTTTATAATGGTCTAGAAGCAACTCCATTTTCCTCATAATACCACGCATAGAAGTGTATGAAAAGAGGAACTCGAATGAGGTAACAGAGCTGCTACAAAATACAATCTCAATTCTCAACAGTATTATCTTAGTTAATCAGTACACAGCAATTTCCTTATCCAGGCTCACAATCTCACAGTATACAAAGAAATTAAAAATCTTTATATCATACCTGTAGCATGGAATTGAGTCCATGACTCATTGAGGTAATCCAGAAGGTCACCAACTATGGATGAACTCGATTCAGAAGTCACCAAAGCCTGAATTGAAAACAAATGTCATAAAGAACAAATCTCAGTAAGTAATTGTGTATAACACTATTTATAAACAGAGAGAGATGTGAGGAACTGACTTCCGGAACTGCGTCAGATAAGGGGGGGCACTGTGGCGTAGTGCTGGAGAATATGTGGAGGTGTGCGGAGCGGATTTTGGCGTTCACGGGGGAGAAAAGCCTCAAGGAGTGACGCAATCCAGATATGAGTATCGGCGATTTGTTGATCGGAGAGGGATACAGGAGGTGTAAACGTGCGGCAGCTGCAGCCATTTAGCCGGGAAGCAGGCTTGCCACTTCTGCAACGGCAACTGGAAAGAAAAATAATTAATTCTGGATTTTAAGAAAAACTAGTATACTAGGAAATAATTTACATAATGTATGCTAGGCAAAAAAAAAAAAAAAAAATTTACATAATGTATGTATAAATGTACTAGAAATTTGATCGCGCCTTGCGCAAGTGTGTCATATGCCTAATGCCCAAATTTATTTAATTTTTTGGGAATTTTCTAGCACCGTTTGTAAATGAATTTTAGCATGTATAGATATAAAATGTGTTACATGTTCTATATTTTAGTGAAGCTGCACATAGTTAATAAGTTTCAAACTAATTTTTTTGTGACTTGTGATTTGAGAATGACATAAAAGCACAATCGTGCCCAAGTTGTCTGGCCAAAGGTGGTATGGCCTTAAAAATCTAGGAGGTGTTTACTTCACTGCTAAAGTCACAGTTAGGTTAGTAAGACAGGTGAAGTAAACACGCACACTGCTTAAAAAGCCGCTTACTAACCGAAAGAGGTGCTTAAAGTGCCGCTTATTAAGCATACCACCCCCCATGTATTAATTAAGCGGCACTTTAAGCTTTTTCAGTTTCCGAATTTACCCCTGCCCTTAACCTATTGTTATCCCTGCCCCACCTCGACCCCAACCCCACCCTACCCCGACCCCACCCTACCCTTACCCCACCTACCCTGACCCTACCCCCGACCCCACCCCACCTACCCTACCCCACCCCGACCCCCACCCCTACCCCACCTACCCTACCCCACCCCGACCCCACCCCCTACCCTACCTAACCGACCCCCACCATACCCTTACCTACCCCGACCCTACCCCTACCTACCCAACCCCCCCTACAACTACCCCAACCCCACCCTACCCCTACCTTACCTGTCCGACCCCACCCTACACGTACCCCCCACCTTACCCCTACCCTACCCCATTACCAGACACCCCCTACCCTACCTAACAGACCCCCACCCTACCCTTACCCACCTACACTACCCTTACCCCGACCCCACCCTACCCTTACCCCACCTACCCTACCCCTACTCGACCCCACCTTACCCCTACCCCTACCCTGACCCAACCCAACCCTACCCCGTCCTACCCCTACCCGACCCCACCCTACCACTACCCTACCTACCCAATCCCACCCCTACCCTACTTACCCGACCACACACCTACCTTTACCCTACCTACCCCTTACCCACATACCCGACCCCACCCTACCCTATCGGACCCTTCCCCTACCCTACCCCGCCTCAACCCCCACCCTACCTACCCGAACCCACCCTACCACTACCCTACCTACCCAACCCCACCCTTACCCTACCTACCTGATATTCGTGTAATTTTCGATTGTATGTTTGTATTTTTAACTAGTTTTTATTAGTTGTAGTTGTGGAAATTACTTTTGGTGTAATATTTTATTTTCATTTTTATTTGTAATTTGTTTAGATTAGGATTATTCTGAGCTAAACAGGTCAAAGATCATCGAAGGGATCAAGATTGGACCTTAAAAGATCAAGGAAAGTGCAAGGAGACAAGAAAGATTTCGATTTGGAAAAAATACTCATGTACCCCGGTCGGGTATTGCCTATACCCGATCGGGTATTCACTTGATTCGATTGTCCAAATCAAATCCGGGAACAAATGATCGTGGGAGCAAATTTTCGTGAAGATTTGTCACATACCCGATCGGGTATGCCGACATACCCGATCGGGTATGCCCGGAAAAGTGACTTTCTGGGCAATTTCCTGAGATACCCGATCGGGTATCCTCTATACCCGATCGGGTATCAGACCCTGCAGCTCCCAAAAGCCTATAAATACACCCCTTTCCTTCACAATAAAATCACCAATTCACATATACTCTTTAGCTCAGTTTAGATTAGTGTTTTCTTTATATTTTCTATCATGTTTAGTCTCCAAATGAGGAGCTAAACTCTTCCATCTTGGTTTTGCTACTTTGAAGCTTAATGAATTTGTAAATTGTGAGTTATTTTCTTTAATCTTCTTCCTTGAATATTAATTCTTCCTTTAAATACTATTTCTATATCAATGTTGGGGAGTGTTACTAAGATGACAATTAGTTAACATCTTGACATTAGTTATAGTAATAGCTATTTCTTCCTCTATGTTAATATTGGGGAGTGTTACTAAGATGACAATTAGTTAACATCTTGATATTAACTATAGTAGGATTCATCTTCTTTAATATTCTTCCTTGAGTATTAATTAATTCCTATTCATATTTCATATTAATATTTTGAACATTACTTAAAGGATCAACTAGTTTTGTTTCATATATTAATTATTACTAGAATCGGTCGATTAATACGCTTGTTATTAATTCGGTCCTTTCGCGGTAGTAAACTTGGGTTATTAATGCATGCGTTTCATGGTTAATAAACCAGGGGGAATTAATTATATTGATTAAACCAATAAACCGCTTGTGTTGAGGTTATCAATCTCAATCGTTTTCATCTTGATTTTATTGCTACTATCGAGTGAATATACGGCGCGTGTTCTATATTAAATCGGTAGTAAGTTTTATTAATGAACGCGTCTCGTTATTAATAACTACCCTCGATGAATTGGATATACTCCTCGATTGAGTATTCGAGAGGAAGATAGTTAAAGATATAACCGGGATCGACGAACATTTCATTAAGTGGATAAAAGCAAAGCCAAGTCTCCTTCTCATTAATTAATTAAACCACATAACTCGTTCATCTTCGTATTTAACTAAATTAATTCACTCAAACCTAAACCCCCCCTTTTGTTACTAGTTAATTAAAAAGAGAAATATTCCTTTCCCTGTGGATACGAACCTTACTACACTATACTACGTATTAGTGTCGTATTGATTATTATTTTGAGTGCACATCACGACAAGTGCACGCCAAATTTGGCGCCGTTGCCGGGGAAAGGCAATTATTTTTCTTTTTATTTTATTTCAAAAAAAAAGTAATTAAATAAAAAATATAAAGAGTTCTTATTTTCTATTTCTGAGCTTTGTTTGAGTATATGGTTAAACACCGATCTATAAACCAAATCACCTACCAAACAAATCCCGAAACAGAACAAGCCTTCGAGAGGTTTAGGAATTTATTTCCGAATACTTCTTCGGAGGAATCATCAAGTGCTAGTTCTTATTCCAGCGAGAACGAAGAGCCAATCACTATGGCTCAAGAAACAAGAACGTTGAGGGAGCTCACGGCTCCTAACTTAAATCAACAACCTCTATGTATCACCTCCCCCACTCTTGATGAAGGTGCTACATTTGAGCTCAAGTCGGGCCTCATTCATCTACTCCCTTCATTTCATGGCCTAAGGAGCGAAGATGCAAACAAACACCTTGCGGAGTTTCATATAGTTTGCACTAGTATGAAACTAAATAATGTCACTGAAGAACAGATCAAGCTGAGGGCCTTTCCATTCTCACTGAAAGACACGGCTAAGGATTGGCTATTCTATCTTCCCTCGGGAAGCATAGATACATGGGCAGCAATGAAGAAATGCTTCCTAGAAAGGTACTACCCCCGCCTCCATCTCATCATCTTTGAAAAAACAAATAAGTAACATTAATCAAAAAGATGATGAGACTTTATATGAATATTGGGAACGGTTCAAAAAGTTATGTGCTAGCTGCCCTTATCATGGCTACACCGAGCAAGACCTCATACTCTACTTTTACGATGGTCTTGTTGATGATGATAGAAGAATGGTGAATGCCGCTTGTGGGGGTGGCATTGTCAACAAAACCCCCTCACAAGCGACAAACTTGATCTCGGAGTTGGCCGAGAATTCCAGGCATTACAACGGGCGGTCCTTGTTAGACCCCAGTTGATTGGTTGATAAACTGTTTTGATGATGCCAAAAGCTTTTGTTTTCCCCCCTCTATTGTAGCATCATTATAGGAGTCTTTGTTATCCTCTTTTGTGACATCTTGCAGTTGTCTAGTAGTAAGAAGATTATCTAGATGTGTCGTGCTCCTTTTATACAGTTAACAAATAAATATGACTGGAAAACCATAAAATGAAAAAAGGCAATATTGTATTGCCTTAAAAGGATATCATATAAATCCAACCAGTTAAATTTATTTGTTACACACAATAACATCTCGCACAAATAAACTATCTATTTTAACTGGAAAACAAAATGCAATAAGGTAATTTTACCTTAATAGGAGTTGATATCCTACCAGTTAAATATTTAGCTTATCATGTTCGAAATACTAGATAAACCATACACTCAGAAGAAGAGTTCTTGATATTCTGTTCACTACAACAAATAACAATGTAGATTCTATATAACAGAAAGAACACACTGGGATTCAAAATGAAATAAGGTAAAGTTGTCTTTATCTTAAAAGTGGATATTTAAATCCAACCAGTAAAGTGTTATTTGATATATAAATCAAAGTGAACAAGAATAGTGAACAACTAACTGGAACACAAAATGCAATAAGGTAATAACTTTTACCTTAATAGGATTTGGTATCCTACCAGTTAAGTTGTACACAATCCCTGCTAAATTACACAAGTACTTAAAAGTGACAAGAATTCCAATGTACAAACTATGTATCAGATTAAACATACTGGAACGATAAAATGCAAGAAGGTAAAAATTATTTACCTTACGTGGATATTTAGATCCAACCAGTATAGCTTTAATTTGATACATAAGTTTAATCATGTCACTTAAAGAAAGAAAGTGATTAGTAAAATAAGTGACAAATTTTACTGTGAAATTTGTACCAAATAAATTGTACTGGAAAGAACAAAATGCAATAAGGTAATCTTATTACCTTAATAGGATATTTCAAAGATCCTACCAGTACAAAACTTATTTGATACAAAATATTGTAAGTCACACATTTTACTACTTCACTACACAAATTGAGCAGGTTCACGCACTCAGCTTTACAAGTGTAGTTGCAAGACAAGGCCAATACACTCAGAACATAAGAGGAGAGAAGACATCAGAATATGTGATAAGAGAAAGAGTTCCAGAATAGGCATGCAGCGATAAGAAGGCCTAAGGTATGGGTGTTATCTTCGTACAAAGCAAGTGGTCTTCAAAAGACAAATCCTTATCCTGCTCCAACACAAGAAGACGCAAGTACAATACTTTGGACGTCTAGGATTAAAACCTCTTAACCAACGGAGGAGATTAATCTACTGGAGATGCCTATAAAAATAGGCAGAAGCATGAGATCAAAGGCAAGTCATTGAGTTCAAAGCAAGTGGTTCAGTCATTACACTAC